CCCCAAAACCCCAAAACCCCAAAACCCCTCAAATCAATGTTAAAAGATTCTTATAGAGAATAAATAAAATATATAAAATGAGTCAAATTTTAGATGAGAATAATGGAGATGCTACCCCATTGAATAAAACATAGGTACGAACCAAGGACAATTCACCAACTCCTATCAATAGAAGTGTAAGAAAATCTTATATTAAATAGAGCATGACACTAAAGATTGAATATAGAATATTGATGGAGACTAAACGAGACAAGGAACACCAGCACAGCCAGTAGTATTAACAATGGATATAGATTATTACAAACCAATGTTTTAGCAGGAAATTTCACCATATCCTTATATTGAGTCTCATGAGAATCTACTTAAGGGACATGAGTCGATGATTTTTGCACTTAATATTTTCGAAGATTGCTTGAACAGATGGGAAGCATAATAGTATACCTAAGTACTTCTTTAAGAAAACATAATGGATTACCTTACAAAAGAATGCTCAACTGACTTGGTAACACTCGCAGTAACCTCCTCTTTTATTCAATACTCATAATCAGCCATTAAAACGGAAGAAGACCTAGATTTATGGGTAGAAGATGAAGAGGCTTCGACGCCTTAAGCCGACAATAACATAGCACTAAATAGAAATATTAACGTGAAGTACATCTGTATCAATCCAGAGGATAGCAGTTAAAACATTACAAATAATGCAGAAAATAAATCTGATATGTAACTTATAGACATTCTAAACAATAGTAAGCTTAGTCTTGCATCTGGGATTTCTAATAAAAAGAGCATAAAGAAATATGGAGGGGTTAATGATCCTAAGAAGTTTTCTAAATTAGACATTAGTTAAATAACAAGAACTAAAAAACTTAAGAATGCTAGTGCTTTGAATGATAGTATACTGTTCGAAGATTAAATATCCTTCCTTAAAAATGTCACTGATAATTTCAATCCAAAGCCAATAAAGTTGAAGAATGATAAGGACAGTATTGAGAAAACAACTTTGGATATTGAAGCAGATGATTTAATAGAATGGCAAAGATCTAAAAAGTATCGAGACGATAATAAGAAATAAGCTCTGATGGAAAAAATAAAGGAGACAACCTAATATGGTATTGTATATTCAAAACTAGATGCTGAAAAGCAGAAATTTACCTTTGACGATGATGGGAAAGTTATCATGATCGATGATAAATAACTTGAAAACTTAGTTAATCCTTTGATTTTAGAGTCAGCTAGAGTAAAGAAAGTGTCTTAAATTAAGGTTCTTAAGAAAGGAGTTGCAGAGACTAAGACTAAAGTAATTATAGATAAGAGAATTGGAACTGTTGATCCACTAAAAAATAATAAGCAGACTATGGTTGATGTTGTAGAGCCATTGAAGAATTATTTTGACTACTTAAAGCCATCAGATGGAGTAGTTTTCTAAGGAAATAATAAAAGGAAATCTGGTTTAGCTATTAAAGATATTTTAGCCTAATAAAAAAGAATAACAAGAAGCCAGTATCTTGAGATGACACAATATAGAGAGTTATCATTAGGTCATCGAAACTCATCTAGTTTTTTTGACACCTCAGACATGCTGATCAATGATGATAACAGATATGCAGACACAGATAATGTAGATGAGAATTTGATGATTTCCACCAATAACTTCTAGTTTGGACTTAATAAAGATAATAACTTTCGCTAGCGAAATAACTCTCTTTAACCTATGGGAGTGATCAAGAGAAGTATGAAGCTAAGTGATTTGAGTTAACTTTTGACTGACTAAGATTTGAAATATAGTAAAGGCTAAAACAAAGACATTATGGGCGGACATTTTGGAAAGAATATTCAAAATAAAATTGATGTTTCCAAGTCATATTCATCTCTTAAAACTGAAAGATTAGATCTGGGTGGGAATGCTTTTGGATTAAAAGCCGGTGTTGATTTATAGCAGAACAATTATTTTGAAAAATCTATTGAAGGCAATAATGGATTCAATACTGAAAGATAAAGTAGTTAACTAGATGGTTAAAGTGATTTGATTTTGCCTTAAATTCCTAAATATTAAAGTAAAAAGAGAATCAATAGTCTTATGAAATCGCTGAGTTAAAGTGTACTTCACTCTAATTCGAAGAGCAAGGACGGTAATCATTTTTCTAATGCTGTTGAATTCAAAACATTGAATAACGATATCAATCACAAAATAATGGGAGACAAAGGCTGGGGAGATGGAGGTGGCATGTCAGCCAGACCTAATTACAATCAAAATAAACTACCTTTAATTTCGCCTAGAGATTAAGAATAAAAGATAGATTTAAACAAGATTCAGTATAATATATAAAGTCCAAGAATGGCAAGATTTGTTAACAAATAAGCATATATTGAGAAAATATAAGAGTAGGTAAAAGATAAGTCTTAGCTTTTGAAGAATAAAATAATGTAGGCTTCTGGATTACTGATAAGTAAAAGACTTCCTCCTACGAAAATATCTGCTGCTAATAGATATTTAAATTCTAACATGGAATGAATTACATTGATTCAAGTTAAGAGAATTATTATTATTGTCAGACTTAATATTATTACCAATAATTTTTAACCAAACTAAGTCAATCTCATTATTTATGGGGTTTTGGGGTTTTGGGGTTTTGGGG